GGAGGGTGAGGCCGGCAAGGAGGGTGAGGCCGGCAAGGAGGGTGAGGCCGGCAAGGCTGGTGAGGCCGGCAAGGCTGGTGAGGCCGGCAAGGCTGGTGAGGCCGGCAAGGCTGGTGAGGCCGGCAAGGCTGGTGAGGCCGGCAAGGGTGGCGAGGGTGGTGAGGCTAAGCCCGAAGGTGAAGGTGGTGAGGCCAAGCCCGCAGGTGAGGGTGGTGCTGCCAAGGGCCCCGATGGCGGCAACGGCGGCAACGGCGGCAATGGTGGCAATGCTGGCGAGCCTCCCAAGAAATAAAATGGCAACTGACGATACTCATGAGGCGGCTGGATTGGCCAAGGTGTGCAAGGACTGGCTCCTGTGTTATAATAGAAATAGTGTAAATTTTAGCTTCAACGAAATATGTTTTCAAAGTATACCAGTACATAGTGGCTATACCTGGTTGTGGAACTCCTCAATGAATTTTTACAATTGATCAGAATTATCAACTTGCATACTGGGTGACTCGATTACAAGCTGGACTTGTATAGACTGCGACAGAACTTGTACAATTTGAACTGCCAATAGAAGTTGTACCACTTGTACTACCAGCGGAACTCGTACAACTTGTCAAACACGTACTAGGACCTCTACGGGCACGGGCGCCACTCCAAATGAAACTTGACCGTTAAAACGCCACTGATGTGATCAACCTGTATCCTTTGTTAGCTGCGAGTTCTGCCTGCTGCAAGCGCAACCGACTCACCGCAATCAGCGCTGGCAGAGTCGTCGGGGTGATGGAGCACGCCGTGTTCATATTGAGGATGGCGGTGCTTCCACCGCACGGCGAGAAGGAAGAAATGCCCGGGTTCGAATGGAGGTCAAAGTTGCCGCTGTACGGGCCGTTGAGCGGCAGCTTAAAGTCGACGTGCTCCGATCCGCCACCAGTGAACGAGTACGTATTGACGCACACACCATTCACCTTGGCAGGAATCTCGGCAAAGCCATACATGTCCGTATCAACAATGGAGAATCTTTTCCTGTCAGCTTCGGGAACAACCGACTCATCATGGTTTAAACCTACTGGAAACCAGGCGTGAACTCCATGTTGATGGTGAGCTTGCAGTTCTTGCGCCAATCGGCCGGCTTCGTGTCCGGCCCCGTCTGCACCTCGTAGGCGGAGAACGTCACCTCAAAGAGCGTGCCCGTGGCATCGACCTGCACGTCGGCCGTGCCTTTGGGGCAGCCGGTGCCGAGCACGCTGATGCCGACGACGCGCACGTGCTGCGGGCCGCCGGGCGGCTTGCCGGGACCGATCTGGCGACTCTCGGCGACCAGGCCCTGGACGATGCCAATCAATGGCAAGGCTAGTGCCAGCTTGTAAAGTATGTGCATGACGGGCAGCAGATGATGAGTGTGTAAATATGAGTATGGAAGAGGCTGTCTCTGGTTGACTTGTCTTGGTCCTGCGTGTTGAATCGTTCGTCTTGGTGAGAGGAAAAGCACCGAATTTTATACTCCAAGTCGACAGGCTGTAAGAACTCGATGCTACTTTCTTACACTGTATGGAATCCTAATCTAGATGATCAACTTCGTATCACGACACCATCTGGCGACCGTCTAAAGGGTCTGGACCGTTCATTACTTCCGCTTGGCGGGGACTTTTGTAGTCTGGGCTCAGCCGCATGCAGAACTCGCTGCAAAAAGGGACATGCAACGCCATTTGCTACTATATTGTCCTGCAGCAATTCATAAACAGCTTTATAGTACTTGGTCGACGGCAGCGGTGCCAGACTGCGATAGGGAAAGATCTGCACCAGTTGACCAGTCACGATCCGGCAGCTTTAATATAGCAATCTACAACACGGCCATGTAACGCTCGCGTCCAAGATTGAGCAGCAGGAGAGAGGCCGCTCGAGGATTATTTATTTGAACCCTGCAGCCAAGTCGGACGCTGTGGCACCGGCATGCCAGGCTGGTACATGAAGAGCAGTGACTCGGACGACTTCCGCGAAGACAGAAGAAGCTGCCTGGTGTCAGGAAATGCGAAAGGGTAGGGCTTCGCACAGGATGTCAATTTTCTCCTTCAAGTCGGTCACCGTACGGGTACAGGCTATATATAGTGCGCTGCATACTACCACACTGGGGATCCTGGCACAGCCGAGGGTACATAGAAGACGAAATCGGAGTTGTACCGAATAGCGGCCACACATAGACCTTATTTGTACAAGTTACAGGCCCTTCCTTCTATTCATTATGCAATTGCATTTCACTTTTTTCCGCGTTATGAATAGCCATGCATCATGTTTCATTTTGCCGCCAGTGATATCCCCCCATGCTACGTCATCGCACTGCATGGTTTGTCACTCGTCAACAGTATTTAGCCACAGTATTTCGCAACAATATTTTATTTGGTGTTCCAGAATAATGAGCATCTATGATAGAAAGAGATAAAGGTATACTCTCAACTCCTCTACCCTATGCAAAGATTCCACCAAGGTCAGATGTGTTTAGATATCGTCAAGGAATTCCACAATGAGATCTGCGGGGGGCGTCACGACCTCCCTCGTAGTCACCTGGTTGCGACGCGCCGCCTTGCCCTCGTCGCGAGCCGCGACATTGGTCAGCTTCTCCTGGGTGGTAATCATGTGCGAGTACGGCTGGCCGGCGCTGTTGAGGATGGGGACCGAGATCTCGCAGGGTGCCGTCTTGGTAAAGTCGCGGGAGCACTGGCGCGTGCCAAAGTCGAGCATCTGGTCGCAGGGCTTAAAGATAAAGTCCTTGACGTCGGTGGTCGGGTAGCGGCCGGCAACGGGCGTCTTGGCAAACGAGCCGCACACGTCGTAGCCGCCGCCGCAGTCGATGATGGGGTGCGAGAAGCAGTTGCCCGGCATCTTGGCCTGGTACGTGATGGTCTGGATCGTGCAGCGGTGGTCCGGCGGGCACGACTTCTCGACAGAGCGCTCAATCGTCGTCTGCTTCGCGTTCGTGTACTGCTCGCTGTACTCGCCCGAGACGTCGCCCGCGAGGCCCGCGGCCGCGTTGGAGCCCCCCAGCTTGAGGCCGACCTTCCAGCCCTTGGTCGTCGACGTCGTGTCCATGGTGGACGTCTTGGTCGTCACCTTGTCCGCCATGGGAGTGCCGCCCGTGTGGCGCGTCTCGAGGTCCCCGTCAACGTGCGCGCTCGCGGTGATGATGATCTTGCCCACGCTGTCGAGCCAGTTCATGTTGCGGAAGTACATGGTCTTGCAGCTGGTAATCATGCTGGGGCACGCAGGCTCGTTGGCAATGTCGGCCGACTGGTACGGCGGGTTCTCCTTGTTGACCGAGAGCGACAGCGAGGCCTGCAGGTCGGCCACACGGCTCTGCACCTGCTTGGCCGAGGCAATGTCCTTGGACGTGTCCCAGGACCACACTGAGCCGGCCAGGGCGAAGAAGACGGTGGATCGCATAGCTACCATGGTGAAGGTGATGATTTGAAGAGTAAGATGGGTGATGATTTGATGAGTACGATGCAAGACTGTTGGTGAATACCTGAGTAGGTCATGTTAGTCTTCTACCACGAGTGGGCGTCGTTCTACCACTTGTTGCATACCTGAGGATTTGTCGGGTCAAGTTGAGAAAGAAGGATGACTGCTTTGTCCAGAAGATGGTGAATACCAGGGAATGATGAGTCTCTTTATATGTAAATTTTGGCCGGATGCCACTGCTCGTCTTGCCGTCTTCCATCCAGCACTGACAGCATTACGCAAGGACGAGGCCCATCGCATGAAGAGACATGGCTCAATCAGCCCTCGATCGTCTCGTGACTCATGGCGACCGTCAACGGCAGTGCCTCAATTGCCGTGCCCTGCGAGCCATTGCCTCGCTTGCGTCAATATCTCGACCCTGATTCCCGCGTCCTTACTCGACCTTGATGCCCGCGTCCTTACTCGACGGCCTGGGCACGGCGCAACTTGTGCGCTGATGCAGGCTACACAGCCCCCTCTCTGCCTCATATAAACAGATATCAGGCACCAGGCGAGTAAGGGCCTTGGCTATATCCTGGGAAGATATGAACTCGTGCCATACGACAACCAACGGTAGGTTTCGAACGCATTGCCTTTGTCGTGCTGGCAGCCCCCAAGGTGCCTGGAGTGTGTCCACTTTGTGGCCAGCAGGTTCCCCAGACGAGTCAGTCGGGCTCGGGAACTCGAGTATCAATTGCCTTGCCCTGTCCAATAGAGAATCAACGGGCCCGAAACTGAAACCAATACAATCTTGGCGTTGGGGTATAGTGAGCTAGTTTGGCGACCTGGTCGGAATGTATTGCCGACCGACGTGGCGTTCCGCGTCGTACCCACGCAGCCTACATATTATCGTTGTATTTTATTTTGTTGAATAAAATTACACTAATTAGGCTCTTTTGTGCCTTTCTAGTACCTCACTCAATAGTTTGTGAGGGCTGGAAAACCCATGGTAAATCCCGGGTGAAAACCATCCCCTCCTGCGTCGATTCGTCGCTACGATAAGTAGGGATAAACTACTATACGTAGTAGAATTAAGCAAGACTTGCCACGACGTCATAGCGACTTCTTCATGACAGTGCGGCAACACTGTCAGGCCGGATGCATAGACGCTATAATGGAAATTGCCATTGAGAAGGCGCAGTACTAGTCTCAATTCGCCCTCCATTTTCACAAATAATGGGATTTTGTTTTCGCCCAGTCGTAGCATACTAAAGAACTATTATTAATAATGAAGCACAGCTAGCGGGCAACTTTACTCTGGTGCGCTAAAAGGTTCGCCTAGCCGTCTTTCATTCTCCTTATTCCGAGTAAAAAGTCTACGGAAGAATCTATAAACAGCGAGGTAGTATGACTAGCCTGTATTGGAATAGCATGCACCACAAGACAAACGTGCTTCCTTGTTGAATGATGGGCATCTTTACTTGAAACTATAAAACATGCTTGATGTAGCTCTCGAGGTCCATTCCGGGACATACCTAGCAGCCGAGGTTCTCACCGTCCCGCCCTTGTCCGCATTGTTGGAATAAACAGCTAGTTTTACTACGACCACGTAGTTATTGACCATGGTCGGCCACGCGCATCCATGGACGGTATCAACGCCGGCACATACGCACGTGCATCAGCTTGTCTACTGAGATGCGGGAACTCGGACAGCCGATGGTACCCAACAGAGGACAAAGTTCCCCAAGCTGCTTTTGCTCCCGAATTATTCACGATAAAGGCAACTCGTTTCCACAGAGCTCTTGGTCGAAAATCATCCCCTCCCTTGACCCCGCCCAATCGCAACCACTCCCGCGCTCCCAACAATTGAACGAAGCCCGGAGAGGCCCCCTCTGGATAAGACGGCACGCCAATGCAACGCTGCAACGCTCAAGACCTTGGATATAAGCCTGCTGTGGAGACTTGCTGCAGCAAACTAGACGCACCATCAATTTTAGCTATACTCTGCTAGGATCTTGCCTTCCTAAATAGGCAAATCTTGAACCAAGGTTCCTCGCTGATCCCATGACACTTGTGCGCTACCTCGGCCGAGATAGCGATTCCGATAATCACACCTGCCAAGGCCTCTGACATGCCTTGGCGCTTCATTGTGTAGCTGTAGCATGTCGCGACGGCGATGGCGGATTATAGCTGCTCGATCGGACCCCAAGCAGCCATCACGACCTCCTCACCATTCGGACTTCCTTCTCTCCCACCATTATATAATGTCTTGAGCCCTGAGCATGGCTGTTTTTCTTCTATAATACTACCGTCGCGCCGCTGTCTCGCGCTGCGAAACGCACCAGCGGGCGCTCGGCCGGCCTCTACTCGCCCGCAACCACCCAGTTGCCCGTTGGTGCCCAGCTCACGGTTCGCCTGGATGTAACCATGATAAACACCGACTTCCTAAACAGGCAAATAAGACTACTCGACCGGCGGCATGAGCACTCCTCCTCGCAGAACAAAGACTAACATGATTGCAGAAGGTACTGTTCCGTTGCAGAAGGTGACTTGCACACGTTGCACGCAGATTGCCCAGACACAGTCTACAGCGGCGATAGGGCGGAGAGCAGACCCCATTATCCGCATCGGACGGATACCATAGATAGTCTTGGAGACGGTGATGCCATCGAGATGGACCGCTTGGCTCGGAGGATATAAAAAGAGCCCGCCATCGCCTTCAAGAACGACTGATCAAGCTCGCCAAGCACAGACTCGCCAGGCCTTGATTACACTCCCCAACTCATCGGCACTTGCACATCATGAAGCTCAACGTCCTCGTCCTCGCGGCCTCGGCCCTGGCCGCGCCCGCGTCCAACATGGTCGTCCACGAGTCCAGAGATGCCAGCCACGTCGGGTACACCAAGGGTGCCGCCGTCGACACCAACACGCGCGTGCCTGTCCGCATCGCTCTGAAGCAGCGCAACCTGGACAATGCCATGGACCTCCTCCTGCAGGTGTACGTTGCCATCCCTCTCTCTCCCCGCTCTCCCACCACTTCAACTGACACACACAGCTCCGACCCCAACTCGCCCGACTACGGCAAGCACTACACCGAGGACCAGGTCGTCTCGACCTTTGCCCCCGACGGCCAGAGCGTCGCCGCCGTCAAGTCGTGGCTCGTGGCCTCGGGCATCGATGCCTCGTCCATCAAGCACAGCCAGAACCAGGGGTGGCTGACGTTTGAGACGACGACGGGCAAGCTCGGGTCCCTGCTCGACACCACGTACAGCCAGTACACGCACCCGACGCGCCAGGGCATCTACATCGGCACCGACGCGTACAAGCTGCCCAGCGCCGTCGCCGAGCACGTCGACTTTGTCCAGCCCGCCGTCGCCCTCGCCGCCACCACCAAGATTGTGCGCCCGCCCCTGCCCAAGGTGCCCTTCTGGCCCGTCAGCGAGGCTCTGTCGACGCAGGCGTCGACGTGCCCGACGCGCATCACGCCCACCTGCCTGCGCGCCATGTACGGCTTCGCCCAGGGCACCCTCAAGGACGCCTCCAACGACCTCGGCATCTACGAGGAGGCCGGCGAGCAGTATATCCAGTCCGACCTCAACACCTTTTACAGCAAGTACGCCAGCTACGTGCCCAAGGGCACCGCGCCCAAGAACGCCCCTGTCAACCAGCAGAGCAGCACCCAGGACAGCGGCGAGGCCGATCTCGACTACGAGATGGCCGTGCCCATCATCTACCCCCAGGGCACCGTCAACTACGAGGTCGGCGTGCCCGACGACGCTCTGAGCTTCTTCGACCCTCTTCTGGAAGGCCTCGATGCCTCCTACTGCAACGACAGCGGTGAGTGCGGCAAGTACAAGTCCACCAACGTCATCTCCATCTCGTACGGTGTCGACGAGGCCGACTTTAGCGCCAGCTACGTCAAGGTTCGTGACAGATAATTCCCGTAATCCCCGTACGAAACAGGAATACTGACCTTTGTACAGCGCCAATGCAATGAGTGGATGAAGCTTGGTCTTCAGGGCGTGTCTGTTCTCATCTCCTCGGGCGACTCTGGTGTGGCCAGCCGCGAGCGTGAGTGCCTCGGCAACAACCAGAACGTCTTCGTCCCCGGTGTTCTCGGCGGCTGCCCTTACATCACCTCTGTCGGCGCCACCCAGCTTCCGGCCGGGTCCAGCCCCGGCGACGCCGAGACAGCCACCATGGAGCGCTTTTCCTCCGGCGGTGGCTTCAGCAACGTCAACCCTGCTCCCGACTACCAAAAGTCTGCCCTCGCCACGTACGTTTGCGCCTACCCTGCTGCAACTATCATAAACATTTTTTACTAACACTGGTGCCGACAGCTACTTCTCCCAGCACGACCCCGGCTACCCATCGTACAACACCACCAACGGCGTCATTCCCAACAACGGCGGCATCTACAACCGTGCCGGTCGCGGCTACCCCGATGTCTCCGCCAACGGCCTCTACGGCGTCGTCGTCGTCAACGGCAAGGACGGCACCAGCGGCGGCACGTCGCAGTCTGCTCCCATCTTCGCCGCGCTCATCAACCGCATCATCAACGAGCGCATCAAGGCCGGCAAGAAGGGTCCTCTCGGCTTCCTCAACCCTACCCTCTACCAGAACCCCGGCATGTTCAACGACATCACCTCGGGCGACCAGCATCTTGGCGGGCCCAACGGCGACGGCGCCGCCAGCGAGTGCGGCAACAAGGGTTTCTCTGCCGTCGCCGGCTGGGACCCCGTCACTGGCCTTGGAACTCCCAACTACCCCAAGCTTCTTTCCGTACTTTTAAACAACTAGGGACAACGATGTTGAAAATAGTAAAAGTAGTAAGAACATGTCTATAGTTGGTAAATAAGTTTGGAATATATTCATCTCTGACTCTACCTTCAACTGCAACCACCGGCCGTCTTCCAACCCACTGGGATATTCTACCTTCATTATCCCACCATCTAGGACGCTGCGGACTGCGCGGCTCGAGAAACCCTGTATTTATGAAACCACTCAAATTTTATCCCCGACCACTGGAAAAGGAGGCGTCAGACGGCACGGCGCGGAATTCCGGCCGCGAGTGGTGCGCTTCTTAGTAAGACCTGCAGATATATAAAGACTGCTTCTTCCTTTTACTTGATTTTCTCAACAAAAGTGACCCAGTTCCCGGATATCTCTCATTTCTCAGTACTCTGTCGCGTTCTTACATTTGCAACATTTCATCATGGGTGTACTCGCAACTTTGCTTTGTGCTGCTCTCGTTGCTGCCGCCAGCCCTGTTTCCCCTCGACAGCTGGGAGTGACTCTTGGTGACGCCGCTGCGCAGTGTGGCAATCATCAGCAGATCTCTTGCTGTATCAAGGGCAACCCAGACGGTCTGCTTGGTGGGAACTGCAGTCCGATTGACCTTTCCATCATCGGTAAGCCAGCATCTGCTCACTTGCAATCTTGTTTGGTAGCTGAATGTGAGAAACAGCCATTACCGTTCCCGTCAGTACTGCTTGCAATGACCAGGTCGCGTGCTGTACAGGCGATCACAATGTATGTCGACATCTTGGGATGAGTGACACGATAAGGAGCCACTAACAGTGTATAGGGTCTACTTAATCTAGCATGTATTGTTATTCATCTGTAAGATGACTTCTTATAAAGGGCACTATTTTATAGGGAAAAATAGTTATATTGTAGAGACCCAAGGCCTCAAGCTTGAGCCAACGACCTTGCGTGCATCATCGAGTAGGCAGCCGTCTCTCGACCAGCGGGCACCATCATTTCCAGATGAGCCTCGACCAGCAAAACAAAACAAACAAGCAGTAAACAAGTAGTAATCTCATCATTGTAAGTTATCGTCCGTCCAATTGACCACTTATCCAAGAGATAAATAAAAAATAAAACTATAATATAAGGTACAAATCCCAACGTTTTTACCCAATACCTTCACCAAACGCCACAGCCATGTACCCAAGAGAAAAGAAATACCAACCAGCCCCTGCGCATCACTCAGCTGCCCGTCACGGTAATTTCATATCCCACCAGCACCTCCGTACTCGTGCCGTTCCAGCCTCTTGTGCCCGCCGCGCTCAGCATGAAACGGCTCGTCGGGTCAATGTAGAGGCTCGAAATGACACCAGCGCGGGGCGGACCGGGAATGATGAGGAACGGCACCGTCGAGTGCTTGACCGTCCCACGGTCATGCAAGTCGTACAGACGCATAATATCATGCGACGCGCTAAAACAGTGGCTTCCATTAGCAAATCCTCGATGCAATTCGACTCGTAACTTGCCGCAGACCTGGCTGTCCAACCCAGATAATAAAAATAAAAAAGGGGAAAAAAGGGGCAAAGGGAAAACAGGAAAAAGAGGGTAAAAAACCTACCAAATAAGATGCCGTCCATTCACCATGGGCTTCACCGCGCTCACCGCGCCGCTCCCACCCGGAAACTTGAGCACGCGCTCCGGCGCCCAGCCCCTCCTGGCCTTGTGCACGTCGTACTCCTCGACAGTGCCGTTGCGGCGGCCGGCGTAGATCCTGTTGCCGTCGGGGCTCCAGCACGCGCTCATGCACCAGGGCGGCACGCCCGCACGGGGGTTGATGCGCGCCACCGGGTTCGGCACGCGCCGGTCCCAGATGCGGATCGTCCCGTCCATGGCCGACGCCAGAAACGTCGTCGTCGACGTCTGCGACTGGTCGCGCTGCTTGCCCGCCGCCGTGTCCGAGAGGACCGTCGGCGACTTGGGCTCGCCTTCGGTGCCCGCGAGCGTGTCGCTTTGCGTGGCCTGCGTCGCGCTCCCGTCGGTGGCGTCTTCCGTCTTGGCCGTTGCGCTGTCTTGCGTGTGGTCCTGCGAGGGTGAGAGCTGCGGTGCTTCCGCGTCTTCCTGCTTGACGGGCGGCGGATCGACATCCATGGCGTGGGGCGCAGGCTCTTCTTCCACGACGGCCAAATCCTCCGCCGGCTTATCCCTCTCCATGTCCATGCTGGCCATGGCCATGTCCGCCGAGTGATCCATGCCGCCTTCTTGCTCCGTCATCATGCCCATGCCCCCGCCATACTCGTCGTCGTCCTGCCCAAACTGCTGGTCGCCACCTGTCTCGCCGAATAAGCTGCCGGCATCACTACCACCACCAAACAGACTCTCATGCGCTGGCGACGCGGCTGCCTCTTGACCCGTCTCGTCTGGCAGCGGCTGCGGCTCTGGGTGCGCATCGACGCCATTCGTGCTCGCAAAGCCGTTTGTGAGCCGGGGGCCGCTATTTGTCGTCATCGTCATGTGAGGCAGCGGCTCATCCGCGTCGGCGGGTACTGGATCGCCGCACTCGGGGCGCAGCTCGACCGCAGATATTTGGCCCACCGTCCCGGTAAAGCTACGAATCGTCTGCCCGGTATTGAGGTCCCAGTCGAGAATCGTCTTGTCCCAGCTGCCGCTTAGCACCGTCTTCTCGTCGGGCGCCATCGTCAGCACGCTGACGGCATTCGTGTGTCGCTGGAGACTGCAAATCTTTTTGCCCTCGTCGTGCCGCACACTCTGCAGATTGATGGCGCCCGAGTCGAGACCCGACAGCAGCCACAGGGCGGTCGATTCCACGGCAAGCGAGTAGACGGGCGATAAAATCTGCTCGTGGCTGGCGGCTCCAGGCGCCGGCGGCTCTTCGTTTTCCCAGTATGACATGAGTATGCCCGCTTTCGTGACGCTGTCAACAAAGGGGTGCCGTTGCGCGACTGTCAGCGCCAGCTTGCCATTGATGGTGCCCGGGCCGTCGAATTTTCGAATATAGCCATCCGAGCCGCCAGTAAACCAGTAGCGTAGGTCCGGTGTAATCGCCATGGCATTGACACTTGTAGACTGGGGCGCGGCCATGGTCGGGACAATGTCGTAGAGCCGCGCCGAAACGTACTCGGGGCGGACCGTGGGCCTCAAAAACGCAGGAAAATGGCGACGGGGACTACTCGACTTTTGTCGCGTGGGCCCTTGGCTGTCATGATTCTGTGTACCGGTGTTATTACCATCGTCTTGGTCGCCGTCGTCGTCATCTTCATCGTTGTTGTCCTCGTTGTTGTCTTCGTGGTCGGGCTCTGCAGGCTCGTCCTCCATCACCTCATCGGGCTCATTTTCTCGTTCCGATTCCGGCGAGCTTGCCGAGAAGCGCTCCTCCTCGTCCATTGTGCGCAACTGTAGCAGTGTCGATTTGCGATTTTTCGTTGTCACCGATGAGGCGCGTGCAGGAGCTCGCTGCCCTAAATCACGGCATTCCCTATTGGCACGTCGCTAGGCGCTTGCACGCGGGTCGCACTCGTTTCTTTGCCGTCTGCGATTTCGCGTCGATTCGGGACAGCTTTTGTTCGTGTTATCTGCCCGCCCAGAAGGATTCCGCGTCAATTGGTTGAAGAGTGTGTTTAATAAATTATTACGTCTCCAGCTTCTGTTTCGCGACGCTAGTGGTAGCCTCAAGCTGCTTATCAAATCACAGTGCGACTCGTGACAGACGCATGCCCGCTGAAGTTTTGGTGAAAGAATGCTGCTTTGTCATTGTTGCCTTGATCTTGGGGAACTGATTTCGCCTTTTCCAGTGTTCCTCTACCTTTGCGACAATAGCATGGATGTTCATGCTCCAAACGGTATTGCCGGAGACAGACAGGGCTTCTATCCTGAACACTAACAGGTATGGCGCTCCCCCAGACTGGCGACAAAAAGAACAGGTAGCCAGACAGATACTAGGTTAAAAATTCAATAAAGTAGGAATAGGAATAAGAGAATAACTAAAGTAACTAGATAGAATAAAGAATATAAAAGAGATAAATAAGATTTAAAAGATAAGGAATATAGGAAAAGAAAGAGGAGGAGAAGAATAAAAATAGAAAAGATAAGAAAGATAAAAAGAATAAAGAAAATAGTAAAAATAAAGAAAAATAAAGCAAGAAAGACCGCTATTAAGCAATATAATAGTAATAGAAGATATATTATAGTTAATATCCTTTTTACCTTTACTTAATATTAGTTAACTATATCTAAGGCGAGTAGTATTGTTAATTAATGTGTTAATTAAAGTCAATTAGATCCCCTATACTTTCTCCTACGTTAACCTGCGCTTTTCCTCTAATTTCGGTTATAAGCTCTTCAAGCTCTGCAATAACGGCATCGTAGCCGACTTTAATCATATAGTCACTACTCTGCAAAGCAGCGCTGTTTTGGCCGCCAACCGTCGCAGCGCTAATGTTCGGCGTCGGCCCATGCGACGACATGTCTTCTAATCGATCGAGAGTCGCCTTGTCAAGCCTGACCGCTGCAGCCGGATGGGCCGAGTGTTGAAGTTGGCTAAGCGGTTTTAAGATCTTCGGTTGGCTGCCGCGCGCTTTCCTGCGCTTTTTCTGGGTGGCCGGTGCCTTGGCTCTCGCCGCCTCGACGGTCGCCACCTTGACGGCCGGTGCCTTGACTGCTGGCGTCTTGACAACCGGCGACTGCAGGCCTCCATTTGGCATGTCGCCTTCTCGGACTCCATCGTTTTCGCATGACTCCCCGCGGCATCCCTCTTCTGAAAAGGAGCTCCATTGTTGTGGGGAGCGGATGAAGGCCGTAGTTGAGTGGATAGGACACTTCAGCGGCACTCGGTTCTGTCTCGACGGGCCAAGAGCATCAAGAACAGGGCCCCAAGTTGAACTGTGTTGTAGGTTCGACGCATTGCCAAAGATGTAGAGGGCGTTTCGAGCTCGGCTTAGTGCCACAGTGGCCCGGTGTATGTTTTCGATAAAGCCAGCGCTTGGTCCTTGTCCTGGCGGTGGACTGCGTACAATAGATAGAAGAATCACGTCGTTCTCGCATCCTTGAAAGCTGTCAACAGTCTTGCAAATGTTAGGGCCGAGTTTGTCTTCAATCAGCTCCTGCTGGGCCGTATAGAACGTCAAAATGGTTACTTTCTCGATAGGCGTGCCGCAACGGATAAGATATTCAGCAAAACTGGTAATCATCTCGGCTTCTTCTTTATTCAGAATACTTTGACCAGAGGCCCCGGATTTCTTCTGCTCTGGCCAATCGTGGTCAAACCACCAGAGGGGCTGTCCGATTCCCTTGACCTTCTCTCGCTTGAGGACAGAGCTGTGGTCGCACAGGCCTGGATAAAAAACATTGACAAGCTGGCGAATCTCTGGAATCATTCGCCGCTGTAGGTTGAGAACTTGGTAAGGCATGTTATTCTTCGTAACAAGTCGTTCGAATAAGGATATGTCTAACGCAAAATTTGGCTGAGTGAGGCGAGGGTTGACACAGCGAGGCGTTAGTTGTTGATGATCGCCGACTAACGCGAGGTGCTTGAGCGACGGCAGTAGTGCTGCTACGATGCTTCCCTCGGTGGCTTCGGAGGCCTCGTCGATTATCAGAATATCGGGGCTGATTTTTCGGAGTAGATCGCGGTACTTAGACAGCCCAGTAATCGTACACCCGACGACTTGAAGTCTGCTTTTCAGGATGACGCGACTATCATGGTCTACTTTATAGCTCTGCAGACGATGGCACGCAGCCTGGAACTTTTCGATTGCTTCGGGGAGTCTTGACTGAATTTTTTTTGACAACTCGTAACACATGTAGTTGAAAAGTTCTTCTCGATGTTGGGCCTTGACCTTGTATAAGTCCCGGTTGCGGGCCAACATGGTTTTGAATCGAGATGCTGGGGCTTCGGGGCGACGATCTAGCTGAATGTATGGGCCAATGGGTTTCTCTGGATCTCGGCGCCGTCTATCGCGGTCCTCGTCCACATTCTCTGCTTTATTCTTGACTTTTCTGTTGCGCTCCCAGTTTTCTGAAAGGGTGTTTTTCGGTGACTTGAAGGACTCCCAGCCCAGCCAGGCCAAAAGCGGATCCATTTCTGTCAAAGTTTCCCAGTCTTCGTTCTGCAAAGAATCAAACTGCTGTATGGTGATAATTTTGGCATCCCTGAAAGACTTTGCGTCGTAATTTTGCTGGCCATGGGAAGCCTGTCTGAGGTGCAGCTCGAGAACTTGACGTGCGGTTTCGAAATCTCGGTAGGCCGCAGCAGGCAATCGAGTGCCAGGGATGGTACCCTTGATCCTCTCACGGATGTTAAATAAAGAATGTTCTTCAATATCATCTGAGACTGTACGACCTCCTAAACGGCAGACGAGTAGCCCGTTCCGCAAACAGAGCTCGAGAAGCCGGTCAGTTGCATGATTGGTCTGAGCCGCAATGATCAACGTTCTAGGGTTATGATGACGAATTATCTCTTCGATTGTTGCGGCAGTTGTGTGGGTTTTTCCGGTGCCAGGGGGGCCTTGGCTTATAGAAAGCTCTTCATTCATCATAGCCACGCTGGCGGTAGCTTGTGACTTGTCGAGTGTAGCGCGGGTTTGCGTGCGTAGTGTGAGTAGGGCTTGCTCGCGCTGTTTGACAGAAGTTTTCTCAGCCAACATCTCCCGAACATTATTTGTCAGAAGGTATTTGTCTATCACAGATCTTCTTTTATTAGATGATTATGGAGATGAGGCAGGGGGAACATAACTTACTTCTCAGAAGCGGCGGCTTGTAGTGCCATCATCGTGTGACGAAAGGACTCAAAATATCCGTTCTTCGCCTCCACCATGTAGTATTTCGTGTTTGAATCTAGTAAATCCTTCGGCCATGTTGACAAAAATAAGTCGACCCGAGCAGGCGTATCGTCTGGTTCTGGGGGGTCGGCTTCTAGGTCCGGCAAGAGGCCGCCAGCCAAAAATCGATAGGCGACGGTAGCCACTCGACACTCTGTCCTAAAAGCGTCTTGCACGGGGGAGAGAACAACGAGGGATCCCGACCGAAGCCGGTCGGAGTTAATCCAGTCCACTGTATCTGGAGCTCTGTCGGTAGACAAGGAGACTCGAACAGCAGCACCACGACCGGTGAGCACGACTCCCAGCACTTGCACCTGTGAGACTAGATTCAGTGACGGTATACATTATTTAGGGTATTCTTCTCACCCACCTCGGTGTAGATGTGCGCCAAGTCCCCTTCAGGCATCAAGGGTGTTTGACGAAATTGCGAGACTGCCAGTCGAGTTTGCTCGACAGACTCAAATCGTTGCATGCGGTACTGCTTTTCGAGATATTTTTCCTTCGAGGTGATGTCCTCATCTTGGACGTTGAGAAGGTGTCCTGGAGAGGTTGCTAAAAACTCTTCAGAGGAGGGAATTTCCGGCTCATCAAGCCAGTTTGTTAATTCTTTCGCCCGGCTGAACTCGGCTTCCCAAGAGGGTAAGAAAAAGGAGTTTAATTGCTAGCAATAGTGTTAGTAATTAGTTTTATAATTTATCAGGGCTAAGGATACACACCAATGCTGTATCCCCCGTGTTTGCGTCCATCTTTGGTATGCCAAGCAGAAGAGTAGATTAGCAGGCAAGATTGAAACAGGGCGAAAGTCGTAGTAGTGAACTGTGGTTGGAGGCAGAGAGGCCGCCTTGGAAGATCAGTGGCTTCCGTGTTCTGTTCGAGCGAAGCAAAGACGTGGTGGGAAGTTGAAGAAAGAGAAGAAGTCAAGTATGCCGTTGATCTCCCAGTCTCTGTTTAAAGTTTGAGCAGGTTCTGAGCAGGTTCAGCTGCCAGCTGTCACGCCTGTTTGCATGGCCGTGACTACCTATTTTTGCCAGTGTCTTGTCGGTCCGGCACATGTTTCCACGGTGATAGGTGGTCGGTACCTAAGGGAAGTTATATTCTGAAAGAGCATTGGTCCACTCCTTATTCGCTTATTCTGGCTCTTAGATCATAGCATTAGTTGAAAAACACTTGAAGGTTGTTCTGCTGGCGTGCAATCAGGGTACATGCTAATCACCAAAGCCAGTATTAACGTAGCTTGATTATGCTTCTCTTGCTTCCTTCAGTTTCACTTCAATCCGGCAATTTGGTTGTTGGATACAAGGTGCTCTCATGCCAATGCAAACGCGACAGCTCCCAGGCGATAGGGTGATTAAAAACCACGAATTACTACCTTTGTTCTCTGCGGTATTCTTAATGGCTTCTTTATTTTCTTAGTATCCGTACAACTTTCATCTTTGTTACTTTCTTTATTTATCTTGCAATTGTCCCTTTTAGCTACCTACCTACCTACCTAGGTAGCTATCAAGCATGTCTTGATGGGTCGTCGTTTTATCACTTGCGCCAGGCCGACTGCCTTCCATTCATCCCTGCCAGCTAGAAGGGGCATGCACCCGCAATATATCTTGGTATTATAGGGTAATTGCAGGAACTTAGATATTATACTATCACAAGTTGATAAATTCTGTCAAGCCTGTGCTCTTCTTCTCGCGGTCTACTGCAAGTTGCCATCCTGGAAGACATCTCCCAGTACATTGCAGGGGTCTCTCCAGGCTCTACAGTGGATATCAACCGCTGAAAGCCTCCAGTCAGCGCCTGACGAATTCGTCATCCTCGAATCCATCGCTCCAAACACGAATGCCCAACACGAATGCCTTTTCAACAGCCAATAGTCTTCCGATTGACCTAATATCATGATATTCGAAGGTGGAAATGGCCGAGTGACTCACAGTGGGACGCAAATCAGCATCATGTATCGTCAGTAAGCCATTGTCACTTCAGCTGCGCGGGGCAAAGCCTTGGCTTGGTGGCGGCGCTGAAGCTCGATTTAAATGCGGCAGTTCCCAGCCATTCTTTCTGGCCAACCTAATTCATCCAGTCATCACAATAGCATTGGCTCCAGTGAGGTGGCGCAATAGTGTAGCTCTTTGTCCTGTCGCTACCTGCCACCATGAAAGATCTCAACTATGCACGGTATCTCCGATCAGTGTACCCAGGAACCACATGGGAAACCACGCGCCTCACCGGGGGTGTCGTCAACTCGACACACCGCGCGGCCAAGCTCTCTGGTAGCGCCGGCCCTGCAAGGCTCGTTCTCAAGCACGCCCGTCCATATGTTGAAAGCGTCGGCCCAGAGCTTCCATTCTCTACCGAGCGACAGGTGCGTTGCCAGTTTCCCAATCTCGGACACACACCCCTGCTAACACGCTCCAGGCTGTCGAAGCAGCCATCCTGAAACTCTGGGAAAACGGTGGCCTCTTATTCAACTCCCGGCAGACAGTACCAGCATGGAACACGCCGCATCTCATCCGCCACGATTACGGCAAGGAGTCTACTCTGGAGATTAGTGACTCTGACCAAGACGCGTCTGTCCTGCTGCTCTCCGACCTGGGGCGTCTCGTTAATATTGTCGAGTTTATCAAAGCCGCGGCTAAAGACTCCAGCATTGCAACTACTGAGCAAATATCCAAACTCGGACATGACACCGGCTCCATCATGGCTCTCATCCACAGCCCAGGAACGGTGCAGAGAATACAATCCGAGCCTCAGACATACGAGAAGCTGTCCAAATCCGTATCCGAGAGCATTGTCTGGCAATTTGCTGTCCTCCCCATTAAAGAACGCATTCAAGATTATCCCAACGCGCAAAGGCTTTACGATGCGACAGTCGATGAATACAACAATCCCAGGTACAACTACCGGCCTGCGCTCAGCTTTGGCGATTTCCATCCCGGCTCGATACTGCTGTCTGATCCGGCTACGAGAGTAGACCTGACACCAGCGCTGGTGGACTGGGAATTTGGTCGCGCCAACGGCCGTGGCGTCAATGGCGACATTGCGCAATTCCTCTCCAGCATGCGTTGCGAAATGATTGAAGCCAGAGATAATCCCGTACTGCACAATCTATTGCTGCTGTATGTCACACGCTTTTGTTCCGCCTACCGAGACGCCGCCCAGCTTCGAGTCAAGAAAGATGCCCAAGACAGCAACTTGCAACACCTTCGCTCCGCATTCTCGCTGCACGGCCGCGAAGACATCAACCTGGCTCATGATATGTACCAAGCGAGTCCCAGGTGCAAGGAAATGATTGACACGGGCGTATGGTATCTCGAGAGAGCTGGCGACAGCGCAAAGCACTTTGTTTCGGAAGCCAATTGGGAAGAACTAAAAAAGGAAAAGGACTGCCTACTCCAATCATTATTTATAATTGAATAAGCGAGGGATGCGGTGCAGGCAGGCCAACTTGCTCACCCCGCGGTTCCGCCCAGTTGACATCACCGCAAGCCTACCGTGCCCTACAACAGGGTCATTATCCACATCAACGGGGAAAAAAGACACGAACGTCAACAAGTGCGAGCATCGTGACGGCAAAAGAATAAGCGATGCGTGATCTGGGAATCGAACCCAGGGCTCCCCGACGTTGCTGATGGCAACGGAGAATTTTACCACTAAACCAATCACGCTTCGATGAACAAGTTGCCCTTATTCCCCATTATCCCTCCCACGAGACAAATTCCCAAACTAGGGCAAAAAGTACACCCACCCGTCCCACCGGTGCCCCATCAACGGTGTCACTCCGCACCAGAATTGCGCGAACGCGACAAAATGAAACTACGTAAAAATGGCAAAAGAATAATCAATGCGTGATCTGGGAATCGAACCCAGGGCTCCCCGACGTTGCGGATGGCAACGGAGAATTTTACCACTAAACCAATCACGCTTCGATGTCGAGCAGGTCGTTATCTGGCTTCATGAGAATGGACGAAGATAGCAAGGTGTACACGGCTGCCTTTGCCCCGTACTTGCGTGACAATTTTGCTGGCTCCGGATGTTCATAGCTACTTGGAGACTTGACTACAAAGCGGTACGGTAGCACAGGGGGCAAATCTAGATCGTGCCCATGCGGGCGTAGATTGAATAGACCCGAGGTTGACTGCCGCTCTGATGTGTCTATCAGCAGCACTTTTGTTGCCGGTCTATGGTCTCGTTCGGCGTGATTGCTCGTTTCCTTTGAGAAGAAAGATGCATGTTGGGTAATGTTCCGGATCGTCTATGCAGTCATGTACAAAGGTCGTCACGACCAACATCCCCCCCGCTTCATGTACACTACACAAAATCAGCACACGCCGCCGAGTATCGACGTCGCGTCCGAGATGGGCTGCCTCCTCCAATTCAAGTGACCATCTGGGCGGACCTGAAAGTCGGCAATCTCCTCGACCGGCTCCCAGACACCCGTCCGCGGGTCCTTGCACACCGAGCGCAGCACCACGCTCGCGCCGAAATCCTCAAACAGCACCTCCCTCCGCCTCAGGCGGATCCACTGGGTATTCTCGTCGTCGTCGCACGCAATCGCGCGTTCCACCTCTTCGTTGCGCAGCGCAATCGCGCGATACACCCTGCTGTCGCGCAGGGCGTTGCGGATGGGGTACTGGCCGAGGATGCGCACCGCGTCGGCGCGCACCGCCGCATCCCGGCACCCAAACGCGGCGATGAACAGCGGCCACGTCCAGCCCGAGTCCATGGCGAAGCCGCAGTTGGGGCGCGCGCGCAGCAGCGTCTCGGCCAGCACGGTGATCTCGCGGTACTGCGGGGTCAGGCCGCGGGCCGTGATGAGCCCCGCGTAGCGCGGCACCGTCGTGTACACGTACAGGATCAGGTACTCGATGCGCAGGTTGATGGCGTGCAGGTAGGCGGCGCGGTCCGCGGCCGCGTTGCGCAGGAAGCCCCGGTACAGCGGCTCGTAGGCCTCGGTCCAGCGCTGGATCCAGTACCGGCAGTCGGCGATGAACTTGGCGATGCTCGGGTTCTGGCGGATCGCCGTGAGCTTGGCCTCGACCTCGGCCTCGGAGGCGGCCTTGGCGAGCGCGAGCTGCGCCGTCGTCGCCGTCAGCAGCGGCAGGTACTGTACCAAGTTGCGCTGCACCAGCGCCCAGTAACCCTGCGTCTCCTCGACGTCTTTGAACTCGCGCGGCATTTCTTGCAGTGTGGTAATGGTTGTTCGCTTGGGCCGGAAATACGGCGAGTGCTTTGTAAAAGGGGCGATACCGGGCGGTCGGTGCGGAGGCCCAGGAGCACCCGGAGCTTGGCCAGGTAATTGGTGTCCGGGCGGTGTTGTTGCGGAGGGAGGCGAGGATGTGTAGGAAGTCGGCGCGCCGGGCGTTGTATGTTGTGTTGACGGGCTATCTAGGCTCTGTGGGCTCAGCATTCCTATTTGCTGGCTCTGCGGCGTAGCTGGCTCACTCGCTGGTGAGTAGACGTTTACAGGCCATTGCGGACTTGACCTCGGCGACACGACACGCGGCTCTGGCGGCGGCTCCTGTCCCGGGTGCTCTGGCGGCTGTTGCGGTGGCGGCCCCGGGTTATTCTCCCCCTTAAAGAAGAACCTCTTATACGAGCCCATGAAGGACCGCGACTGCAGCTCTAGCGGCTTATAGCAGTCCAGAATTTCCTGGACCATGGACGGCGGGGCGGGCGCAATACGCACCAGGTCCGGGGCGCGCGGCGTGCACCCCGCCAACTCATTCAGCATGCTAAAGCCGTGGGTAATGTGCTTAAGCGCGGCCGGCATATTGCCGCGCTGCGACTCGAAGCAAATAAACAGCAGCGACGACAGAAGGGCGGTCCGCAGGCCCTCACTTGTCGGCTGGGCCTTGGACTGCAGCCGCAGCGCCTCGCAGTACAGCACAACGGCGTTCAGGTAATGCCGGTTGTCCCCGGTCAGGGCGGCGAGCGAGTTGCCGGGCCCGCAGGCGCGCCGCAGGGCGCCGACGGCCATGGCGCCGTAGCGTAGTGTCGGCTCCTCGAGGGTCAGCTGCGGCATGGTGGCTGTCCAGAGCCGGGTCTGGCTCAGGCCGCCGCTGAGAAAGGTCACGGATAGAGCGGCCCACTCGTCAAAGTAGGCGCGCTGGTCGTTGCTCGTAAAGCGCAAGGTGTTGACGAGGGGCTCCGTCAGTATCAAGGGTGCCTTTTTCGTGTGAATCAGCTCGGCGGTGTCGCCGGTATCCTTGTCCTCTCCGGGGTCGGCGTACGAGTCGCAGTAGCCTCGCCATTTGACGCAGTTGAGACAGGCGGGCCTCGTCTCGTCGCACTTTACGTGTCGTTTTCTGCATCCCATTAGACGGGTAACCAGGGCATGGGCATGGGAGCTGCATGTCCCGCCTCTGTGCGTCAAACTCACTTGCCTAGATGGTCGGCCAGGTTAGCTTTCAGACAATCAATGCGAGCGTCTAGACACCAGGCCGCTTACAGGTGGCACAACCGGTGCGCGCGCGTGTCGAGCTCCGGCGCGTGTGTCTTGTGCGGGACTCTAGGGCGAATCGGTGGGTGCCGCCGCGGGCCGAGGCGGTCGCGGCGCCGTGGGAAGATTGCGCTGCGGCCGAGGACCTAAATGTCACGCAGTACAAAGCAAGTCTCAGTGGATGATTCTCTCGTCCCTTGCGCAAGGCTGTGGCGTACAGTCGTTGGTTCACGTACCCCAACGCACCGGGCCGTGCTTTTTCGCGGGGGTCGACTTACCGTCCCGATGTCGCGTTCTTGGGTCGGGCCAGCGGAATGGAAAACTGAATCTCCATGGCGCCGTCGTGACCTTGGCAGGGGCTTGCGCGTCCTGGGACGCGACTCTGCTGGAATCACTCGGAGAGAACCGAAAGGATGCAGCGTCCAACTACATCAAGAGAGGGGACTTGCAATTATGTTTCTGGAAAAACAGTGTGCGGAGAGTTTAGCGTCGCTCGGCCGAGAACAGCCTGAGAGGGCGGTTTTGACTGCTTCTCTTTGAGTCGGTGCACCCAGATTGATTGTCGCCACCCTTTTTGTTAAATGATTAAAAAAAAGAACGTGTTTCGTGCCAGTCTGTTGTAACTAGAGTGTAGTTTGTAACTTGCTCGTTGCTTGGTCTGGACTCGGGAAGCAATGACAAGTCTGGTGGCGCCAAGGTTCTCAATCTGATGGGCCCTGTCGGAAGCCCATTCCACCAGGCCCTCCATCTCCCCGGTACTTATTACCGCTAATCACGTTTCAAGGTGGGAAAGCTTTGGGGGGTTGAGAATAAAGACGACGGGTAAACTTACCTAGAGGAACGCCGTCAAGCCGTCAAGCCGCGAAGGCCAAATAACAAACAACGGATGGACGGTAGGCGTTTCCATGGAATATGGCGTGTCCACAGGCAGAATCGATAGGTATTTATGGTCTACGGGTACAAGACCAGCAAACTCGGGTTTTGGTGTGTCATTGTCAACCGAGCGTTGAATGTAATGAGCGTCATGGGCCGCTCAGGGTTTGACACGGTCGCGAAAACAAACGGCGATGGGATCCCGAGTTGGCGACGTCGCAGATAATTCAATTGCGAGGGCCGGCACCGATCCAGAGTCTTGCAGCGGCAGGCAAAGGTTGCCTTGCAGATTGTCTTGCAGCATCATCGCAGAGTATTGTCATGTACCTACTTCTTTATCGAGCGGATCATCAGTGCAGTCACCCCTCACTAGCGTGCCACGAGCTTCGGCATATCAGATTGCATTTAAACGAGCCCTAGGCTTGAAATGAACCATAAGTCTAATAAATATTCCAAGTACAAGAAATACGATAGGTACGATAGATGTAATAAATTGACTCTACTACCCCCTGGACTGCTTGTTGCTTGTTGTCAATTGATGCTGTTGTTAAATTATTAGCCTTCGGGTTAGAGGTGCGAATAACCGTAAACCTACCTAGACAAGGTTAAAAAGTAGTGATGACGTATGAAGCATGAACTTGACCTCGTCGTTCTGCAAGCTAGCCTTTGCCTGCCGCTGAAAGGCTCTAGTTCGATAGCGGTCCTCGCAATTAATGGGAGTAATTCGTGGGGTATTTGAATTATTTGAATTATTTGAATTATTTGACGCTTAGTTACCGTGCAAGCAAGTCTGGAGCATCTTATCTTATCTTGTTCACGAACGGCGTCGCGTCGAGTCTCAAGAACAAACGCCTACCTGACAACAATGCAAGGCCGCGCCAGAGCAGTTCTATGCCGAGAGCAAGGTATACACGCGAATTAATTAATTACGGCGTCGAAAGCACAATGAATATCGCGGAGCTAGATTTACAACTGCAATCACAATCCTCGCTTCGGGATAAACAACGCCTACTCTACCCTATACTCTACGGAGTAGAAAATCAGCAGAATGGGTGCCAGTCCATCGTGCGACTACCGACCGGTGACGGATAAAGGACATCCTCCAACCAAGTGGCACACATTCATACCGTCCGAGTCTATATCTTTCGTGCGCTAGAACTGGTGGAAGCGCGAGTGCGCAGGGTGCAACCTGCATCGGATTGCATCGAGGCACCGCGGGCTCTGGGAGCGTGTATCTACAACGCGCATCGCGAGGCGCCAGACGCAATAAATGCTGATCAATTACAGACAAGGCATAGTTATTTTTGGCAGGCTTCAGAACCTCGCGTTGGGGACCCTTTGGGGCTTTTTGGGACGCTCAGCCTGTGCCGTTCGTTGTGCCACAAAGCATCAGCTAGGCTGGCTGATTGCACGGTACGCAGCCTCGCGCAGCCTGCCGGACATGATTGCCTGTTTCCGAGGTCACACCTGCGATGCTCTGCAGCGACCCGGCGGTCTGACAAGACAGATGAGGACAATGGGAGGACCTATTTGGCAAGAGAAGCAAGAAGCCATCTGAATCGAGGCATGTCCAGGGGCAAAAGACCCCGTGGTGGCGTCGCCTCCAGAAGTTACCAATTGATTGCAGATTTGCAAGCTCTATCTGCTACTCAGATTGAAGACGGCCCCTGACGGGAACAGGGTGCGCCATGATTTGCTGCGTTGGTAGCAAAAAGAGCGTCCTAGGAACGGCGCATGGGGACTATTGAGGAAGAGATCTATAACACGACAGGGCAAGTAATAATAAGCCGCGTCAGCCTGGAGGGGCAATACGGGCGAGTCGTGCGCATGTAGTCCAAGGGAGGCAAAGGCAGAGGCATGGATCTGCAGAAACAGGCGAAACAGTCAAGAGGTGGAGCGGCGGCGCCGTCAGTCTTTGTCTGGTGCCGCATCTTTCAAAACCAGGAGGCAGGTGGCAGACAAGCAAAGTGGTCGAAGTTTTTGGTGTGTCGCAGGAGATGAGGAGTCGACCGGGTGGGCATCGTGGCGCGAGTCGTATTCTGAAATGAGGGCATCAGTGTTGCGGTAGGTGGGTGTCGAGCGGTGTCGAGTGGTTTGTCGAGATCTGAAGTGAGGGGAGGAGAGCCATCCTCGGGTCGTTGGATGTGGGTAAGTAAAAAACCGTGAAAATGGAAGAAACACGAGATTGATGCCCCTTTTTTTTGAAATTCAATTCTAAAGGGTGACGAGGCGCGAGGAGTGCGAAGGGGAGTTGCCGGGGAGGTGGATTGTAAATGCTGAGGTCCAGCACTGAGGACCGAGCGATGATGATGTCATGAAACCGGTATCAACAGGTCGTTGGTTGGCTGTGGGAATAAAGACGGAGCAAAGGTTGGAAAGTTGCGCCAACCACGTCAATGTTGGGTGCCCTTGTCTTTAACTACTAATTAGTAAAGAATACACCTGCATCAGCCTATTGAGAGAATTTACGCATGATTGGACAAGCTGTCTGGAGTACCGATACCAATTACACAGCAGGCTTGAGCGAAGGGAGGGCCGCACGAATGTTAGTAGTTGCTACCTAGTTACCAGTTCAACCAGTATGCAGCGACGGGCTAAAAAAAGACTTGCATCCATACTGATACATGCATGTGCAGCACTTGGTTGGTTCGTTGCTTGGATTGTGGAATGGGTTGTTGTGCAGACGAGGCTGTCGCGGCGTTGCCCGTTGCCCGTTGCCCGTTGCGGCGCTCAGCCAGGGCGCGCCGATCTGACAGTGGTTGCCCGTAGCGACAACCACCCGTCGTGAGATTAGTGGCGGTTAACACTCTTTGTCGCTGGAATGAAAGGAAAACTCGACAGGACAAAGTAACGGTATGGAGAATGAGTATTGGATGCCAATTTTTTTTTTTGCGTCTTTTTCTTGACGATGGAAATTGGCGCTTGCAAGCAAAATCTCGTAAAAGCTGGCGCGGCTCCGAGTGTGGCTGTGAAGCCATCCCAGTTTGGCTGCAACTAGCTACAAGACCAAGACAGGTTGGAAGAAATAAGCCTAACTACATAGCAGGGCGAACTAAAATAAGTAGGCAGACCTGATACTTTCTCGTGTTCTGCGGGACTTGATATTGGTGGCGCTCACCTCTCCATCATGTTACCGTCCCGAGGCTGCTGGACTACCTACTGGTAGTTAGTGCCTGGATTAGCGGCCAAATGCAGTGCTGCAGCGCTGAATCTGTGCTCGTACCGGACCATCACTTCAGCACTTGAGTGGGGATAGGGCCGCTAAAAGGCTTGCACTGAAATGCCCTAAATACCCTGCGACAGCGGTGCCAATGCCTTGAAAAAGATGCTTGCTTCTAAAAGTGCCCGCCTGCTGCCGCTCCCCACCTCGTCCACGTTCCTCCCGGCTCTGAACAATTTCACCGTTTGAATAATCAAACAAGTATCCGTACCGTAGTTGACTAGTATTATTATGGATAAGCATTAATATATCGAGTATTATCTGCACCAGTCGACTATTCACCACGTTGACGCTGGCACTTTGGCTTTCTCAACCAAGTCCACTTGCTGCTCCATCCACATTGCTTCATCCAACTCCTCCATGGTATCTGGCATCCACCACTCTGTCACTCCGTCACCATCTGCAACACGCCCGCCGCCCGCTTGAACCTTGGCCTGCGCCTCTCGCCTGTCCCAGTCCCAGCCCATCCCCCCCATCCCATTCATCAATCCATTATTAGTGAACATCCACACACCCGACCACAGCCTTCTTCTACTCGCCGCCTCGCTACCCCCCCTCCGCCCTTGCCGTTTCACCTGCTGCGCTTCCCGCGACAATCCTTCAACCAAGCCTTCTTTTAGCCCTTTTCCCTCCCTCCTTCACCCCATCCGACGTCTTTCCTTCTTGGACTCCTACCAACCACACGCGACCGCCTTTGTCGTGAGCAGCTTCTTCCACACCTTCTCGAGTCTGCCTTGCGCTATCCACACTCACTTTGTGACGCTTTTGCCTGCTCATGACAACACGCTCGCTGCCCACCTTCTTGTCGCAAGTGAGGCCTCGATCGCACCGCCTCTGTCGCCAGCATCAAGCCTACCAATCAATTCCTCGACGATCCCGCGCTTGACGCGACAGCAGCACACCACTGACGTCGTGGCCTCCTGCGTCCGCCCCGACCTGGGGCTCTTTGATTTCTAGCCTCGACTGCTTCCCGCCGTCACCATGCAGCATTATTCCGGCAACGAACACTATTACGAGAGGGAACCTCTGGATCCCGCCTACGACAATCGCTACAACACACCAAGCCGACCCCAATACAACGAATACAGCCAGGAATCGCCCTACCACGACGAGTCGCCTGGCCGTACGCCAGAGCCTTCTGCTGCTCAGTACGACCAGAGAGGCTACGACAACATGTCGGCCCACGAAGCACCTCAGCCCCCTCCGCACATGAATCTTCACTCTCACAGCAGCTCGGCCTCGCGCCAACCCATCGACGACTATCGTCAAGCCCCCAGCGGCGCACCCGGTCCTGACAGCTACGGCCATGCGCACCCCGGCGTCATGGCCGCCGGTGCATACAACCCCGGCGATTCTCTCCGCAGCACCGGGCAAGTTCTGCCCCCGCCTTCGCGCGCACAGTACCAAAACAGCCTCCCGGGCAACTCGTCACCCCGCCACAGCCAACACAGTGGCCCCTACGCAGCCAGCTACGGCGTGGATGGCGATTCACGCTCCACTGTCAACCCCTTTGGCACTGTTGCCTCGTCCTCTGTCGGCTCCAGATCCCCGTCTAGAAGTCCTAATGTCTCGGCCGACCACTACGGTGCTGCGCCAGCAGCCTACTACAACCACTCCGCCTCATCTCGACGAGACGTCCCCGCTCTAGGCATGGTTGATCCCATGTCCATCGAAGATGACGGCGATGATGGCCTTCACTACGGCCCCAAGAGCCATAGAAATTCCGCCAACAGCGGCAACAAACGAGCTGTTCCCGCTGCCATTGGCGCAGCGGCCGGAGGAGCCACAGCCATAGCGGCCGAGCATGGTATGTTCTTTTCACCCGGTGCTTGCCCTGTTCTATCCCCTCAATTCTCCCTACCTTTTCAGGCGAGAAGCGAAGAGGACCTTTGACGCACTAGTGCTCTATCCAACATCAACTAACGCTAACTATAGACACTCGTGGCTTCTACGAAACTCCCAAGCGCGAACGACCCTCAGATTGGCTCGAGAAGAAGCAAGGCCACTCCAAGAAATGCAAGTGGGCCATTATTGTTCTCATCTTCCTCGTTATTGCCGGAGCCATCGTCGGCGGTGTCGTCGGGACCCTCGTCGCCGGCAGAAAGAATGGCGACAACAGCAAAGGCTCAAGCGGCGGTGGCACCAATGACGATAAGAGCGGCGACCTCAGCATTAACAGCGACGAAATTAAAAAGCTGCTCAATAACAAAAACCTCCACAAGGTCTTCCCCGGCATGGACTATACCCCGATCAACGTGCAGTATCCCGATTGCCTCCACACCCCGCCTTCCCAGAACAACGTCACCCGCGACGTCGCCGTGCTCAGCCAACTGACCAACAAGATTCGACTGTACGGAACCGACTGCAACCAGACGCAGATGGTTCTGCACGCCATTGACAAGCTGCAGATGAAGAAGGACCTCAAGGTCTGGCTCGGCGTCTGGCAAGACGGAAACACGACGACCAATACCCGTCAGCTGTCTCAAATGTGGGATATTCTAGACGAGTACGGCGGTGATCAGTTCGAGGGCGTTATTGTCGCCAACGAAATTCTGTTCCGCAAGGAAATGACGATTAACCAGCTCTCGACAATTCTGACAGACGTCCGCACCAACCTGACGAAGCGAAGCATCACCCTCCCCGTTGCCACGTCGGATCTTGGCGACGACTGGACAGCCGAGCTGGGCAAGGACTCTGACCTCATCATGGCCAACATTCACCCCTTTTTCAGCGGCACGCCCGCTGACGAGTCGGCGGCATGGACGTATTCCTTTTGGCAAAACAAGAATGGCCCCATGTGGAAGAGCGACAAGAAGATGAATGTCATTTCCGAAACTGGCTGGCCGTCGGGTGGCGGCTCCAGGTGTCCGACGGACAACCCCCAGTGCACCAACCCTGCCAAGGCTGGCGTCGATGAGATGAACCGCTTCATGGCCGACTGGGTGTGCGATGCCCTCACCAACGGCACCAACTACTTTTGGTTCGAAGCCTTTGACGAACCGTGGAAGTCCCGCTTCAACACGGGCAAGGAAAACTGGGAGGACAAGTGGGGTCTGCTCGACGTGAATAGAAATCTGAAAAAGGGCGTCAAGATTCCCGACTGCGGAGGCACAACAGTATAACAGGCAACATGGAGGGGAAGATGAGGACGACCAACGGTGGGTTCGACGAGGGATGTGTATTACTTGATGGCATTGATGGCTGGGCTGCGCTTGCGGTCCTTGTACGTTTTGTTTTTCTCGCGCTTTTTGGTGGGCACTTGCTCCTTATATATGCGGCGTATTTGGTGTTTATTAATTTTTTGTGAGTGAGAGTGCAGGGCATGAATTAGAAGACGCTAGACACGTATTTATATACGATGAATTGACAGTTTCTCTGCCTCATTTTCTCCCGTGCCCGTGTCGTCACCTGTAGTCTTATCCGTCGCTGTGCTTGTGAAAGTCTCTATCGTATCCTTTTCCAGTGCTGTCGAGTCTTTGAGTGAAAGCTCTTGTACCACTGAGAGCTCTTGTACCACTGAGAGCTCTTGTACTGAGCCGTCGTCTCCGACTGCTTCCGAGGCCGCTGCTTGGACGCCGTCTGGCGGCATCCAGTAGATGCTGGTGCTGGAAAAGGCCGTGCTGGCGGCATCCTGAGGAAACGAATACCGCGTATACGTCTGGTGCATCTTTTTCATATTCTCGAGATCGGTGGCCTTGTCCATGATAGCCCTGTGCAAACATGAGCTTGTTTCCTTTTCCCCTTTGGACCGAATTTCATGGCAAAGCTTTTGAAGCGCACGGCCGACGTCGAGCGAAGCGAGCAAAAGAAAAAAAAAAAAAGGAAGGAAAGAAAGAAAGAAAGACGTACGTTTCCCATACATCCCAGCCGGTGCCGACAAAGGCGGCCGGTAGGCTGGACTGCAACGCCGCCGCGTAGACGGGGCGGTAGAGGTGCACGGCGAAGAGCAGCGTGGTGTCGTCAATGAGAGTATATGCGGCTGGTGAAGTGACGATGCGATGGCCGAGACTGGCGAGAAAGGCCTCGTCTGCGTGTGTCAAGATGGGTTCTTGCACTATGCACTCTATCGAGCGCTTGCTATATTTTTCTTTTTGTCTCATACTTAGCACACACACACACACGCACAACGCACAACCCATCCAACAAGGGAACGCGAATACGAAAACCAGACGGTGGATTTCACAAGTTACCTAGTTGCGACGTCAACGTCGTCAGCGCACAGAGCTGCACATACGCCGCCCTCTTGCTCTGCCACGCGCCGTCCTCGGGGTCAAACGTGCCGATGCCCAGACACACGGCCCGCCGCACCCTGGTCCGCCGCGGGCCGGCCTGCTGCTCGTCCACGAGACGAAGCAGCGCGGCGTGCGCGGGCGACGCGAGCCACTCGGCGCGCACCTTGTCGTAGTCGGCGCGCAGGGCGTCTGCGGGCCGCAGCAGGCCCGTCGTGCGCGGCGCAAACGAGTCTGGTGGCTCGTGATGGTTGGCCCCGACGGAGGGGCTGGAAGGGGGTTTTCGGCGGGACTTGTGATGGACGCGGGTCCAGCCCTCGTCTGCGGACATTGTTCTTGTAGTTTGAGACCGGGAATATATATCAGCTTGGGAACGTGTTGGAAGACGGGCCATTTTTTTTCTTGCGAAGGGAGCCCCGCTTTTATTGGTGATGCCGACTTATAATAGCACCAGGTAAGATGCGCTCTGGCAAGGGATCAATATATGCACGATGCACGAGCTTCCGTATCAAGTAAATTGATAAAAGTGGTATTGGCGATCATGCCCATATCCAACTAACCCTTGTGCATATCACGGCAAGTGCGCCCAGTAGGCTGCCGCAGAAACTGGCGACCTCCAAGACAGGCTCCAACAAGAAAAGGAATAGAAAAAAACTAAGAATAACAAAACACAGCACAAGTACGTTGATAAGGATCCGAAGATCTGCGACGGATCCGGAATGGCATGTCTCGCCAGCGGTCCAATAGTTAGCCCGGCTCCTGGTCCGTCCTGCCAAGGTAGCAATAAAAAATCCTCCCCATCCTCCGTTACCCCGGACACGATATGCCAAGTACTGAATCGGCCATCCCTCCATATAGCACTATTCTTATATCTTTGATTCCTCGGAGCAACGGCCGCTGGTCTCTGAATTCGCGGCCAAAAGGAGCGTTCTGCCGTCGCCGCTCCGATTGCGGGGCGGGTCCCGTCCGTCACCCGCATACACTACTGCACTCCCAATATTCTCCTCGCAAGGAGCTAGCCGCCCATAAAAGTGTAAGATTTAAACTTGTACCTTGGGCTCGGCGGGGTCAGCTCTAGCTCCTCACGCGGCTTCCCTTGGTCCGGCGTGCATCGTGCAAGTCTCGGAGGGAGTCCCCGCTCGTACCTTCGTGCATGCTGCATATAAGACGGCTCTCATCGCCCATCCTGCACAGCCCATCTTACCTTGTTCCTTCTCTCCCATTCATCCCACCTACCCATATCCCATATCCCAACACGCCGCAGATACTCACACTAACACACAGCTCCCGAGTTGACTATATACAAACCGCAGCCATGGCCTCCCCTACGGTCCATACCATGCCCGGCACCACCAACCTACCGCTCGCCACCTTCCCCACCAGCCCCGCGACCGCAGCCCTCAAGCCGCTGCAGACCGCCGAGTCCTTCGTGTCGACCGTCAACGCGCACCTCGCCAAGGCCGACACCGAGTCCCTCGCCGCGCTCTTCCTCGAGAACGGCTACTGGCGGGACCACCTGGCGCTGACCTGGCGGTTCCGCACCGTGCAGTCGCCGGCCGCGATTGCGGGCTTTCTCGCCGACGCGGCGTCGTCGCGCGACGGCTTCCGCCTGCAGTCGGTGGCGCTCGACCTCGGCCTGCCGTCCCGCGCCCCGGCCGTCGTCAAGATTGACGCCGACGGCAAGGCGGACGTGGTGCAGTTTTTTATCACGTTTGAGACCAAAATTGGCTTTGGCACCGGCACCGTGCGCCTCGCCGCGGACGGCAACGGGTGGAAGATTTACACGCTCGGCACCATTCTGCAAGGGCTCAAGGGGTTTGAGGAGCCCGTGTTTGGGAGAAGGCCGGCCGGTGTGACGCATGGCCAGTTTCCGGGGCGCAAGAACTGGAAGGAGAGGCGCGAGGCCGAGGTGGACTACACAGATGGAAGCGAGCCTCTGGTCATTATTGTCGGTACGTATGGAAAATGGAAACTTTGCCTTGAAGCAACGAGGAGGACAATTTATGCCCCGCATCGAGCGAAGCGAGGGAAAAAAAAGAAAGCTGACAAGTAGATACAGGTGCTGGTCAAGCCGGCCTCACAGCCGCCGTCCGTCTCAAAATGCTGGGCATCAACGCCCTCATCGTGGACCGGAACCAGCGCATCGGCGACAACTGGCGCAACCGGTACCACCAACTCGTCCTGCACGACCCGGTGTGGTACGACCACATGCCGTACATGCCCTTCCCGCCAAACTGGCCCATCTTCACGCCCAAGGACAAGCTGGGCGGGTGGTTTGAGTCGTACGCGGAGACCATGGAGCTCAACGCGTGGATGACGACTGAAATCACGAGCACCGCCTGGGACGAAGCGGCGCAGAAATGGACCGTGCAGCTGCACCGGACCAAGCCCGACGGGAGCACCGAGGACCGCACCTTTCACCCGAAGCACCTGATCCAGGCCACCGGCCACTCGGGCAAGAAGAACCTGCCGGCCATCAAGGGCATGGACAAATTCCAGGGCCACATCCTCTGCCACTCGTCCGAGTTCCCCGGCGCGCGCAAGGACGGTCCGCCGGGCCGAAAGGCGATTGTGGTCGGCTGCTGCAACTCGGGCCACGACATCTCGCACGACTTTTACGAGAGCGGCTACGACGTCACCATGGTGCAGCGCTCGAGCACGCACGTCGTCTCCTCCGCGGCCATCACCGCCATTGCCCTGCAGGCGCTCTTCTCCGAGACGGCGCCGCCGGCCGACGACGCCGACCTGCTGCTGCACGGGCTGCCCAACAGCGTGCTCAAGGCGGTGCAGGTGCAGGTGGGCGCGCAGCAGCGCGCCCACGACGGCGCGCTGCTCGCGGGGCTGGCGGCCGCCGGCTTCCAGCTCGACGACGGGCCCGACGGCGCCGGCCTCTTCTTCAAGTACTACCAGCGCGGCGGCGGCTACTACATCGACGTCGGCGCCTCGCAGCTCATCGCCGACGGCAAGATCAGGGTGAAGCAGGGCCAGGAGATTGCCGAGGTCCTGCCGCGCGGCCTGCGCTTCGCCGACGGCACGCAGCTCGACGCCGACGAGATTGTCTTTGCCACGGGATACCAGAACATGCGGTCCCAGGCCGCCGACATGTACGGGGACGCCCTCGCCGCCACCGTCAAGGACGTCTGGGGGCTCAATGAGGAGGGCGAGTGGCGCACCATCTGGCAGGACAGCGGCCACCCGGGGTTTTGGTTCCACGGCGGCAACATGGCCCTCTGTCGGTATTATTCGCGGTTGCTGGCGCTGCAGATTAAAGGCATCGAGGCAGGCCTGTATAAGCACGGGGAGAAGTAGAGCAGACCGTGCTCTGCACAGTGCCAAGGAAAACTGATCGATAATATGACCAAATTACATTGATTCCCAAACTGTCATGCAGAGTTTCCAAGAATGTCTAATAAGCGTTTCATTACCAAGAGATGCATCTTGGCCGAGTATGGAGTTATTGAGATGCTATCTGTATAGCAGCACGTCTTGGTGACAAAGGCCGACACTACTGACACCGCATCCAGTTCTACTAGTCTGCACCAATGCAGTAAAAAGGTATGGAAGTCTCATTGAATTGAAAATTGACGGTTGAGCAATTGCGGCCCGGATTTTGGAACCTACAAGGTATTTATTCCCTTGTGTAGCCTGGCTGGGCAGCTGGGGAACTGGTTCTGGGCAGGTTACTGACACTGCGTAGCGCTCAGCTTACTGCGATTCAGTCCTTGGCTACTCCGGCGCTGAAATTAACAGTAATGTATATTTTAGCGATGAACAGGATTACATTTACCTTGCCCAGTGTAGTTGCGTGCATTATACGAGGCAAGTTTTCTCCCAGAACAAGTTATTACTCGCTCCACATGTCGCAGACCCGTATAAAGACAAATTGCGGCCCCGATTTCAACGATCAACCCGGTTAGCTCAATTGGCTAGAGCGTTGGACTGCAAGTTCCCCGCTTCATCCCGTCTTGTAGCATCAAGCTAACCGTTTCCACAGTTTACGGAATCATCCTAATCAATCCAAAGGCTACGAGTTCGACCCTCGTACTGGGTGACCTTTTTTTTTTTGTACTTTTCATCTCAGTCCCGATATTAATTGGTTAGTTAGTAACTAAGTAAGTAGTAGTACTATTAGAAATAAATGATATAGGGGAAAAGATTTAATTAACTTTACTGCGAATCTCTAAAGCGCTAAATATAAGATTACTGCCAACGAACCCGGTCGCATAAACGAAAACATGAGCAAAATTTTGCAAGAATTTTCACTGCCGTTTGAAATGATTGATTCCAAAGGTCCTAATCATCCGCATTCTCAGCTGCTCTTTTGTCCCATTAGTACGTCAGCAAATCTCATCGTTGTCACTCGGCTTACATTTGCTCAGTAGACAGCCAATCTTCAATATACCGGAGAGACGCTTCGTCGCATTCAACAGAAGAAATTTCGAAACTCTGCGCCCAAAAGTGAGGCCCTCTCCAGCCGCCCGCAATGCCTCCTTTCTGTATCTTGTTCCCAAACGAGGCACAAGAGTCCAAATCAATGAGAAGCGCGCGATCGTCCTCGTCAAACATAATGTTGGTGGCGGAGATATCGTTGTGAGCATAGCCAAGAGAATGCAAATGAGCGACAGCTTCTCGTATGCTCTGCATGCACTTCTTCCTCTCGCCCGACGTCATTTGGCTTGCCCCAGGCGACCGTGCCTTGTTGATGCGATCCTCCAGTGATTCCGCGTATTTTGGAAACGCAAGGCGAACTATGCGACCGTCGTGAACGACGCAACCCAGGTATGCCCCCAGATGAGGATGTGGGTTCGAGAGAAACAGCTCATTGTTCCATGCTTCAAAGAGGAGGAGCTTGGCAACGGCATCGTCATGGTCCCAGCCAGAAACGTTTGGCGGCTTGAGAAAATACTTGTCCTCCGCTATAGAATTCGGATCAAATTGCGTGAGGCCATCCTCGTACAACGGGTAGATGTCAGCGTCGGGTATACGGCTCATGGTAGCCAGGAGACCGTTGAACGTGGCGTCATCCAAATCATTGTATGTCCCTGCGATCCATTTTCCTCTCTCGCTCAGTGATAGGGTCCCAAAAAATGCAAGATAGCCACGGAAAGCTGTGAGCTCGAGTCTCTTTCTTTCCCAAGTGGTTTTAGCCGCGTCAGGGGCGGCCGATTCTCCCCAAACCTCTTGGACATGAAGGCAAGGTGGGCTAGCTGCCATCGTGTCGTGACTTGCCCAACAATACAAGATCCCCGACTTGGTTTAGTCAGGCACCCGGATCGATTTCGATGATGATGTCGAAAGAGGAAAAAGCTCAGGCGGGGGAGTACCTGGTCTCAGCCACCAAGTCTCTTTGTTGTGTGTGTGGAACCGGTGAGATCACCAGCAGCCGCATGTCCTGCAGCCGAGACATCTGTGCGAGCGTGTATTTCTACCATAGGTCAATTTTTATGTCATTTGACAATCGGCATGGTCGCTCAACAGGTGCAACCCCTCTGCACTTCCATCAGCTCCCCTCAGTGTCACTTCAGATTCTAGCGTCTTGCAGCAGCCTCTGACGTAGTTCATGTGTCAGAATTGGCTCTCCATCTGATACCGTTTGGCCGCAAGATATACCTCGTGTTACTCTGCTGCTGCCCAAAGGCTACTATAGGGGTGATTGATATATAAATGAGGACGGTCGCCTCTCATCTAGTCACCAGAGCTCCCTTCATCATCATCCTGTCTTCAAGTTCCCGACGTCCAAAGCAGTAATCATCATGGCGCAGAGTGTCCGGGCCGAGCTGACGTCCAACTGCACGTGGTATTCCAAGATCACTCCCACCGGTACAAGGGAAACAAAGATCAAGGACGACTGCAAGCAGCCCACTTGCCCTGCTTCTGAAAACTATAGTGGAGTCAAGAAATGATCTCGGTCAGAGGTATGCAAGCTATTCTTCAGAGTCACCAGATCGCGTGCCTTGTCTCCGGACTGATAAATCAGGCCCACAAGCGAATCAACGCGGCCGCAACCGCAAGACCGCGAAAATGGGCAAGAAAAATCCAGGGTTCATGTAGCCAGAAAACTTTTCGTTCCGGCGTGCCATAGTTGTATCTCAGCAAATGTCAACCGAGTCTTGAAACGGGCTGTCAGGACGACACTTGGGGGGTAACCGGGATTTATCTGTCGAGTTGTTGACGAGGTAACACTGGGTGTATGTCAACGTTGTAGGAGACGAGTACTTTATGAACTAGTCCGTTATTATTCTTCACATTGGTTGTCACGCCTTTGTTTGGGAAAGTGCATTTGACTTCCCACAATGGCCAGTGCACTAGATATACATTGACACAGTCAGAGTATCGTACCAACTGCACCACCAAAGCACACATTGCGGAAATGATCGGCTTTGTTAGGCCACCTCCCGTCAAGAGTGCTTATTGGATAGACAGTAGGATGGCAGAAATTTATTTGCTCGTGTATTTTTTTTATTTTTTATGAAGCAAATTAGTCCTATCCGGTAATGTTTTCAAGGTTAATGAATCATGTTTGCTCATGGCAGTGTAGAAGCAGCGGAAACAAACGACTGACAAATGTAAATTCCCTTAGACCATCTCCCAATTATTCGAATTCTTTCCTTGACGCACATTTTCCTTGATATCTTACCAGCTGCCCCTGAGGTTCATAGCCTCATTCCATGTTTGCTGTTGCCTACCTACCTACTTACCTAGGTAGCTACCCTATCGCTGGCCAGCGCGGGATGAGGGGCAGCAGCAACATCTCCACACAAGCTCGGTTGACATCCACCTGGTTCCACGGCCTCCACCTCTTGCTCAACGCATTTGTCAACGTCACTGTGTCAACTCCGCGCCATTCACGCTGATCCGCAGTTGTTGTGGTCTACACTCTCCCAAATATCCTCCATCTCCCAATCACAGCAAACATGGTCGATTTCAAGCTTTCCGCGCAGCTCGTAGGCCACGAAGCCGACGTACTAACCCCTCCATCACCTCGGCCCCGTCTCCGCTGACAGCCATCACAGGTCCGCGCAGCGGCGTTTGCCTCTCCCAACACCGTCGTCACTGCCTCGCGCGACTGCAGCGTCCGGCTCTGGCGTCGCTCGCCCGGCGGCGACGCCTCGTTTGAGGGCTCCCTGCTGAGCCGCGGCTCCGAATACGTCAACGCCATCGCCTTTTACCCGCCCAACGCCGAGCACCCCGATGGCCTGGTCGTTTCGGGCGGCAAGGATACCATCATCGAAGTCAAGAGCCCCCGGAAGCAGTCGAGCGAGCACGCCGACCGTCTGCTCATCGGTCACGCCCACAATGTCTGCGCGCTCCACGTGGCGCCCAGCGGCACCTTCCTCGTGTCGGGCGGCTGGGACGGCCAGGCCCGCGTCTGGAACCTGGGCACGTGGGAGACGGAGCTGGCGCTGAGCGGGCACGACGGCATGGCGGTGTGGGCCGTGGTGGTGCTCGACGACAAGACGGTGGTGACGGGGTGCGCCGACAAGAATATCCGCGTGTTTGACCTGACCAAGGGCAAGGGCGGCGAGGTGGACGCCTCGGCGACGATATACACGCCTGATGTGGTGCGCGCTCTGTGCAGCGTGCCGTCTACACATCCAAGCGGCGCCGATATTGCGAGTGCGAGCAATGATGGGACAATCAGATTGTGGAAGCTCAACGGTCAGCAGATTGCCGAGCTCCACGGCCACGAGAGCTTCGTCTACTCGCTGGCTAGTCTGCCCACGGGAGAGCTGGTCAGCTCTGGGGAGGACCGCACCGTGCGCGTATGGAAGGGCCTCGAGTGCACACAGACTATCACACACCCTGCCATTTCTGTCTGGACAGTGGCTGCCCACCCGGAGACTGGCGACATTGTGTCTGGCGCGAGCGATGGCGTCGCCCGCGTCTTTACACGGACGCCCGAGAGAGTTGCTGACCAGCAAACGCTCAAGGAATTCCAAGAGTCTGTGAAGGCATCTTCCATTCCCCAGCAGCAGGTGGGTGGCATCAACAAGGAGAAGCTTCCCGGTCCCGAATTTCTACAGACCAAATCCGGCACGAAGGACGGCCAGGTCCAGATGATCAAAGAAGATAATGGTAACGTGACGGCACACACATGGTCAATGGGCGAGCAGCAGTGGATCAATGTTGGCACGGTAGTGGACGCGGTCGGTAGTACAGGGAAGAAGGTCGAATACAAGGGCAAGTCCTACGACTTTGTGTTTGACGTGGACATTGAGGACGGTAAGCCACCGCTGAAGTTGCCATATAACCTTTCCGAGAACCCATACGAAAGCGCCACAAAGTTCTTGAACGACAATGAGCTGCCTCAGGCGTATTTGGACAATGTGGCTCAATTTATTACAACAAATACAAAGGGTGCGACGTTGGGCCAACCGGAGCCTCAGAGCGGTGGCCCTGACCCCTATGGCACAGAGTCGAGATATCGTCCAGGCGAGGAAGAGCAGAAGCCTGCACTGCTTCCGCAAAAGGAATACCTCGGCATCACTGCTGCGAAATATGAGGGTAAGTTGCAGACAATCCGTTTTTGGGCTTTTTGCTAACCACGATAGTCATTTTCAACAAAATTTCGAGCGTCAACAAGACGATGATCTCCAGCGGCCGCAAAGACACTGCTCTGAACCCCGGCGAGGAGTCGGCGCTCCATGCTCTTCGCACCGCTCTCGAATCAACCACCACCATCCCCACCGATGCTCTGCCTTCCCTGGTCAGGGTTGTTACAGAGTGGCCGTATGGCGATCGTCTAGCTGGTCTGGACCTGCTTCGCTGCGTTGCCCGCTACCAGGCGGCGGCCAAGTACAAGGACGGCACGCACGGTAGTCTGGTGGATCTCGCCATTGCCGCATCACTGCCCAGCGAAGAGACTCCCAACGAAAACGCGGCCATGATGGGCGCACGCACGCTCGCCAACCTATTCAGCACCGCCGACGGCCGCAGTGTGGCCAAAGCGCACGTGGACACTCTACTGTCGTTCCTGGAGCGCGTGACGGGTATTCAGGGGAGCGCTGCCATTGGGCCGCACAACCGCAATCTCTTGATCGCGGCGGCGACGCTGGCCATCAATCTCGCCGTTCTTGTCAATACTGAGAAGCTACTGTCGGCCAGCGAGAGGCGGCGACTGCTGGAAGTGATTGGGGCGCTTCTCAAGGGGAAAAGCGATTCAGAAGTGCTCTACCGTGGGTTGGTGGCACTGGGCACGGTGGCGGCGACGTCCAAGGGCGATGCGACTGCCGTGCCTGGCATTCGTGCCTGGGTGAACGAGGCAGCGGGCATGGCGACTGAGGATCGGGTCAAGACGGTAGCGGCTGAATGCCAGAAGCTTATGGCGTGAGCGATGCGTTGTAAGGATAAAAGTAGCATGCGAGTAGACACAATAGAGGATATGACTTTTGCACAAGTGGTATATTAAAAAAAGCTAAATGTAAAGCTGTGGAATCACGCTGTGTCGCAGCTGAACCTGGATTTTGCCAACGCCGAAACACCATGAAATGAGAGACTTGGGATACATGACGGGGCTTCATTTACAGCAGCAGCAGAGCGGCGCCGGCAAAGAGGAGAGGCATCCAGCCCACCCAGCCGACGGCGGGCAGGGTGCGGTCGGCGGCCGAGGTGGTGTAGTTGTCGGAGCCCGACTCCTTGTTGGTGATGGTGTAAATGTCGGCGAAGCCAATATCGGTCGAGTTGTAGCAGTTTGTTTCGTTGACGGGCGCGATGCGGGGATCGCCAGGTTCCGCAAAGATGATGTCGACGCACTGTTTGTGTTAGTTTTTCTTTTGTGTGATTGTTACGGACAACAGGGAGAGACAGGCTTACCGAGTAGAGGGCGGCGCCGTGCTGAGCCGTCTCGACAATCTGGATGGTGGCCTCGTCGCCGGCCTTGACATTGGCGCCGACGGGCAGCGGGACCTGGGTGAGGCAGACGGTGCCGGGGTAGGGGTTGTTGGACGGGCCGAGGATCTGAAAGGGGTGAATCATGGGGTTGCTCATGTTGGGCGGGCCGCCGTTGATGTTGACGCTGGGGTCGGAGCCGAAGCCCAGGTTGACCTGGAGAAAGGCGTTGAGGTGGCCGCGGAACCAGCCGGGCTGGAAGGCGATGGTGCCGCCGCCGGTGGGCCAGTAGGTGCGGTTCTTTGTGACGCCCATGCCGCCGCCTGTGAAAGGGAATTTAGCGAGGAGCACAGGTAGACGTCGAGCGAAGCGAGGAAAGAAGAAAAGGAGAAAAGAAACGTACAAGGATACATCCATTGCATGCCGTAGGGAAAGGTCTCGTTGGTGATGAGGTTATTGCCGCGCCAGCCTGGGTACGAGATGACGGTGTGAGCGGCGGCCAAGCCCGCGAGGGCGAGGCTGATGACGAGGTTGAGCTTCATGATGTCGTCGATTTGTGTGAGGGTGTTACAGGAATTTCTTTCTTAAAAAAAAGGGCGCAAGAGTCGAACCCGGGCCAGCCAGATTGAGCAACGTGAAGCCCGTCGTGCGGTTGAGAGCCGAGTGTGCTCGAGGTGGAGGACAAGCAGCAGGGTCGCGGCCAAGCTTTGCGCATGAACGATTTGGCAGAAAACGGGACGAGAAACAAAGAAATTCACGATTTGGAGGACCTAAGATCGGGGGGAGAAGAGAGGGCCGGGCGGCCCTTTTCCCTTTTCCTTTATGAGGGGAGGTCGGTATGAACATTTGGGTGTGCGACATGGGCTAGGGGGTGTGAGTGGTTGAGGGGAGGGGGGCCGGACAGAGTGGGGGGGGGGGGGGATTCGGGACCAGTAGCGGAGGGGG